GGTGCAGAGTCAACCTCGGTGGAAACTGCAGCTTGGAAAAGTTCAATGCTTTGAAACAAGTGTTTTTAAAGCCTCTGACAGTGCCGTTTGGACAGAAATCAACTGCAGGACGAGACGAGTTCAACCGTGGTGTTGATCCGTTAAGGTTGCGCGCGACGCCCAAGCCAAACCACTTGAAAATTGCAAAGTGTATGACCAGAATGTGAATAAGTGCGAGCGAAGCGAGCGAAACACCAGAGTAAATTCACAAATTTCACTGATCAAGTGTTGATTTTGAGGTTTTTTTTTCAACATTTTCGGAGACTTCAGAAATTTTGAAAATTTGTTGAATGGTGCTGAATCCAGAGAAGAATTGCAACACGCACCAAAACGAAAGACAAAGAATTGAGGGCACCCAGCCTGAAAGAAATCAGAGTTTCTTCTGCTCAATCTTCTGTCAAATTTCAGTGTGCCTTGAATTTCTGTTTGGCCATTTTGGAAAATCAAAGACAAGAGAACGCAATTGAAGCTTTGTCAAAAAAAGTCGAATGAAATGGAAATCGAGGCTGGACGACTCTCAAGTCGTTCTGGGCCATGATGTCAGTGTGATTGTTTTTCAATGTGAGCAAGACAAAAACATTGGTTTTTCTTTTTTTGAACTTTGGAGAATCGAGAAAACACTGGAAAGAAGCCAGAGTCGTGAAACTTAGACAATTTCTTCAGATTCAGCAGCAGATTTGTGCCACAGCAACACTTTTTTTCGGTTCAAATTGCCTTCGCCCGTCTGAAAAAGAAATTTTCTCTTGCTTTTGTTCAATGTGTTCTTTGTTTTTGTCGGAATGATCTCTCGGTTGAGTTGCAAGCTTCAGAAGAGAGAGTTTCGAGAAACCGTCCTGAACAAAAACACAAATAGATCGTTCAGCAAGTGTTTTGGTGAGTGCCAGCCCGGTAAGCTGTCGATTGACCAGAAAGACAGTGAAAAAAATTGCAATCGGAACTTGAAGATGTCCATAAGAATGTGCATTTTGTGGTTTCAGCTGTTTTTCTGAGTGTGCATGTGCAAGAGTGTTGTGGATGTGTGTGTGTGTGAGCATTTGGTTGCAAAGTAGGTTGGTTTGCGGGTGCATGTCTTTGGCTTCAGTGTGCAAGGAAAGTGTCAGTGTGGGTAAAGGGTGGTAAGGCAATGGAGTCTCAGAAGTGACACCAAAAAAAAACAGTGGCCTTGCAGTGGTGTCTATGTGTTTACCTCGTTTTTTCATTGTGAATGGGTGTGGTGTGTTGTGGTTTCGGCGTTTTGGCAGAGATTCGTGTGTGTCATGGAGTGTGGTGTGTGTCATTATGTGGGTGCAAAGTGGCTTTAGTGGGTGGTGTGCGCTTGCGTGTATGTCGGCTGGGTTCTGCTGGCTGTTCAAGTGTGGAAGTATGCGAGTGGTGAAAGGTGTGTGGATTTGGAAACACAAAAAGAGGGCAAGCAATCAACCCCAAAAGGTAGGGAAGCCGAAGTGGCCTCCACCTGTGGAGGTCACTGGAGCTTCCCTACCTTTTCGATCAATTTTGCTGCCCCTCATCTTGGGTTTCAGATTCTCCAGGTTTTGGTGCAAGGCCTGAAGGCAGAAGAGGAGAAAAGAAGGGTGCAGAGTCAACCTCGGTGGAAACTGCAGCTTGGAAAAGTTCAATGCTTTGAAACAAGTGTTTTTAAAGCCTCTGACAGTGCCGTTTGGACAGAAATCAACTGCAGGACGAGACGAGTTCAACCGTGGTGTTGATCCGTTAAGGTTGCGCGCGACGCCCAAGCCAAACCACTTGAAAATTGCAAAGTGTATTACCAGAATGTGAATAAGTGCGAGCGAAGCGAGCGAAACACCAGAGTAAATTCACAAATTTCACTGAGCAAGTGTTGATTTTGAGGGTTTTTTTCAACATATTCGGAGACTTCAGAAATTTTGAAAATTTGTTGAATGGTGCTGAATCCAGAGAAGAATTGCAACACGCACCAAAACGAAAGACAAAGAATTGAGGGCACCCAGCCTGAAAGAAATCAGAGTTTCTTCTGCTCAATCTTCTGTCAAATTTCAGTGTGCCTTGAATTTCTGTTTGGCCATTTTGGAAAATCAAAGACAAGAGAACGCAATTGAAGCTTTGTCAAAAAAAGTCGAATGAAATGGAAATCGAGGCTGGACGACTCTCAAGTCGTTCTGGGCCATGATGTCAGTGTGATTGTTTTTCAATGTGAGCAAGACAAAAACATTGGTTTTTCTTTTTTTGAACTTTGGAGAATCGAGAAAACACTGGAAAGAAGCCAGAGTCGTGAAACTTAGACAATTTCTTCAGATTCAGCAGCAGATTTGTGCCACAGCAACACTTTTTTTCGGTTCAAATTGCCTTCGCCCGTCTGAAAAAGAAATTTTCTCTTGCTTTTGTTCAATGTGTTCTTTGTTTTTGTCGGAATGATCTCTCGGTTGAGTTGCAAGCTTCAGAAGAGAGAGTTTCGAGAAACCGTCCTGAACAAAAACACAAATAGATCGTTCAGCAAGTGTTTTGGTGAGTGCCAGCCCGGTAAGCTGTCGATTGACCAGAAAGACAGTGAAAAAAATTGCAATCGGAACTTGAAGATGTCCATAAGAATGTGCATTTTGTGGTTTCAGCTGTTTTTCTGAGTGTGCATGTGCAAGAGTGTTGTGGATGTGTGTGTGTGTGAGCATTTGGTTGCAAAGTAGGTTGGTTTGCGGGTGCATGTCTTTGGCTTCAGTGTGCAAGGAAAGTGTCAGTGTGGGTAAAGGGTGGTAAGGCAATGGAGTCTCAGAAGTGACACCAAATAAAAAAAACAGTGGCCTTGCAGTGGTGTCTATGTGTTTACCTCGTTTTTTCATTGTGAATGGGTGTGGTGTGTTGTGGTTTCGGCGTTTTGGCAGAGATTCGTGTGTGTCATGGAGTGTGGTGTGTGTCATTATGTGGGTGCAAAGTGGCTTTAGTGGGTGGTGTGCGTTTGCGTGTATGTCGGCTGGGTTCTGCTGGCTGTTCAAGTGTGGAAGTATGCGAGTGGTGAAAGGTGTGTGGATTTGGAAACACAAAAAGAGGGCAAGAAATCAACCCCAAAAGGTAGGGAAGCCGAAGTGACCTCCACAGTATTTTAAAATGAGACTTGTGATTGTCCTTTTGCTTTTGGTTTCCTTCCTAATCTCGCGCATGAGATGAGTTCGTAAACCAATACTGAGACCGGCAATCTGTTGACGAAGAATTTAATGCGCCAGAAGGCCTTGATTTTTTTTCTGTGTTTTTTTTCTGGGCTTGTGCTAAAACTCCTTTTGTAATCTTAAGGCTACGCGACCCCGCTTCGGCCGGGGCCTGCCGAGCGGCGAGGTGCCCGTAGTGTTCAGGAGGTCTTCGTTGTTGTTTTCGCGGTGGGGTCTAATGAATTTTGCGGGCACGCAGCTAAGCTTGTAAGCTCGCTGACGAACAACTTGGACACTCTCTGCCTGGGCCAAGAGTCGGTCGGGGCTTGGTCGTGGTTGTCTCCCTCCGACCCGCATCCCCTCCCCCTCCGCGCCCCCCACCCCCCCGCCCGACGCTATGCCATAGCACCGATTGCACGTTCAACATGGTATTTAGGACTTGGGGGTTGCTCTGTATATCATCCTGGTGTATATAAGCCTGCGTGGAAAGCAGTGGTCCCGTGACGGCGTGTGTCGAAGACCTACAGTAGTTATTTTCAGGGTACGAAGTTAGGGTTTTGGTTTTGGGTGGCTGAAAAAGAATTGTCGGGCTTTGCCAGAATGGAACAGCCACAAGCATAAATCGGAGGGTTGAAACTACGCGGTGGTGGCTGGGCCCTATAGTGTTTGCAGACGGTGGTGGCTGGGCCCTATAGTGTTTGCAGACCCAGAAACAAGAAACAGCGCATTACAACGGCGGCTTTCTTCGCGGGTCCGATGAGGATCCTTCAACCCTAAACTCTAAACCGCCAGCAGCTTCACTCTGGCCAAATTTTCGTTTTTTTGAGATTTCTCGAAGACAAACATTAAATGCTCGAAACGCCAATCTTTCCCGAGTTTCTGAAAAAATCAGGATTTTGTTTTTCAAAAATTGCAAACCCTCCGCGATTCCCCGCGATTCTCCGCACGATTCTCCGCTCGATTCTCCGCGATTCTCCGTGAAACGCCCCGAGAACGCTTCTGAGTGGTTTTCGATCTACGCAAAAAGCCCGCGAAAAGCTCGCGAATGCTTTTGAGTGGTTTTCATCTCTGCAGACTCCGCCGCGGTTCTCCGCGATTCTGCGCGATTCTCCGCGACTTCTCCTGAATTTCTTGTTTTGTTAGTTTTGTGGAAGGCTGGGTCCCTAGATTTTCCGAAAAAATGGCGTATTCCGGGTTTTTTGCGGTGTTTAAGGCGCGTTTCAGGATGTGCGAAATTCGAGGACCACGGTCTTGTACGGTATTCAGGAGGAATTTCAAGGACCCGGAACTTGCGAGAGATATGCCATGCGCGAATTCGAGGACCACGGTAGTCGCGAGGATTTTGCAAGCCGAGTGCCCAAGGCAGCCACGGAAACTAGCAATTCGCATGTGCTCGCCCGAGTGCAAGTGTGCGCACCCGCAGCCAAGAAACAACGTGCTCCGCGCCCGTGACAAGAACAAAACACCTTCTTCTGTTCTGGCAGTTGAGGGAGACCGATCAGGCATGAAACTGGATGCGAGATGCTTGTCGGACGATTGCTGCGCGTTCCAAATCTGGGGTCAGATGTTTTGCGATGGCAAGACGCTTCGAAGTGCATTGCCACTTTTTGGTTTGTGCACTGCAGTGGAGGGTCGTGCCGAGCAACTTAGGACATTGAACAACTCACGGCATGAAGTTTCTGTTCCAATCCATGGATGCATAGGTCCGGGGAGGCAGGCAAGCAACGGACTGCGGCCATCGAGTGGGGCTCCAAGCTGCATAGTGCCTGAGCAAAGGGCCGCCACGGGGCAACCGTTGCTGGAACATGCTGGGGCGTTGTACCTGCTTTGAGGATAAGGTCAGTAGTGATGGGCTGTTTGTACTTTTTCCGGGCCACATGTGAAAAGTTGTTGGTGGCCAAGAATGCCTCGTTTCAAAACAAATGGCTCCTCGGTTCGGACGTTTGCTGCGTGTTTCGAGTCTCCCCTATGAATCTGCATGACTCAACTCAACTTGGCAGCCCTCACATGGCGAAAGCAACACAGCCATGTCAGAGATGCGCACGGTTCGATGATGTTCGATGCTGCAGTGTAATTGGGGTCAAACCTTGCCGAAGGCTGGAACCGTTCATTGTTTTCTGACTTTGCCGAAAAGTGCTGCGGCCGAGGTTCGTTGCTACAGCGCGGTAGCTCATGCTTATGCAGTGCAGGTCAGATGTTGAGCAGGCGTGGCTGCACGCTTCGAGGCGCAGTGTCTCGGCAAGCATTTAGTGACCCTCGAACTTCAGCTCATTTGCTTTCGGATCGTTTGTGCCTCTCTTCGGCGCACTTCCAGTTTGAAGGGTTCGAGGAGGTGAAGCGGGCCCCTCCCAGTGGCACGTCAACATTTATGTTCGACATTGTTCATGGCTGCATCCTTTTTCATTAATGTTTCTGAGGCCTGGCTTTCCCTCGGTCTGGGTGCACGAGCAGGCCCTGTCGGGTCGTGGCTGTTTGTGAGCATTGTTTGGTCCTGTAGAACAACCATATGTCATGGGGGTTTTCATACGTTTTTGATGTTTCATGGCAAACTTGTCGGCGCATCGTGCGACCAATCACGCATCTTTTGCCAACATCAATGCATTCTTGATGATTTCGTTGGGTTCCCGAAAACTCGTGGGGTATGCACCTGCAGGCTTGAGACCACAGCAAAAGCACGGAAGAAAAACTGCCATGTGTGTGTGTGTGTGTGTCATGTAGCAGGAAACAGTTCCCCTGGCTTCATCTGACACAAGCGCCTCACGAGCCGCCTTAGGAGGCTTGGTTGCTCTTTGAAGGATGTGGGCTGCCATGGAGGTTGTGCTATAATTATTTGGGGCTATTGAGCATCCGAGAGGGACCTGCTTCAAAAAAGTAAAGCCAGGTGCTGCCCTATGCTACCATCATGTTAGAGGCTGGAGCCTCAGAGTCTCGAGCCGACTGCCGTCGATTGCATTCATCAGAAGTTGAAGCGTCTCATGAAAGCTTACTATGCTGATAATGCACCTGTCGCAGGCCTGGGGTCGTTTCGCACGCGAGCTGTTGAGATCTTCGTTGCCCTGAGAGCATCTGAGAGCCAACAAGTTCTGCATTGGGTCGCGCGGGCCAGTGGAGCTCAGCAGCACTCCTTGCATCGTTGGGTCGGATGTAGTCTAGAATGCCTATTTCGGGCGACAACAAAGAGTGCTGTTTGATGGACAGTAGAGTATGAACACTGCAACATGGCAATTGCAAGC